ACACATTTGCTAGAAACGTAATACGAGAGAGAATCCTCAAGAGCAGTAGAATCACAGAGTGAATATGAAAAGAAGGAGCCCCACGCAGCGGCAGCTGGCAGTCACCCGCGGGGTCAAATTCGAGAACTCGGGAGCCAGACTGTCTAGATTTTAATCCTTGCTCACTGCTAAAATAGGGATAACAGGAACTATCCCTAAGGATTGTTGTGAGGATTAAATGAGTTAATATATGTAAATCACTTAGAACAATACCCTATCCAAAATAAAGGTTAGTTATTTTTATATTGATCCTCATTTGCATTTAAAATATGAAAAAATAATAATTTCCTCAAGACGGCCTAAAGTAATCTCCACTGTTTACCCAAATGATATTATGTGACCTGTAGAAGCCCAGAGTTCTGAGGAAACAATTTTTTTTTTTTTTTTTTTTTGGTACCGGGGATCGAACTCGGGACCTTGCGCTTGTGAGGCAGGCGCCGAAACCACGGAGCTAAATCCCCAGCCCCTGGGGAAATAATGTTTTAAAACTGCAGTGTGTTTATCAGGAACCTTAAAACTATTGCTATCCTTTGATTCCCACAATCTCACTTTAAAGAATCTATGATAAGAGAATGATTAAAATGCAAATAATCATATACAAAGATATTTGCAGTAATATTATTTATAATAAACTTTTGGAAAATGTAAATGTTAAAAAACAAGGTATAAGTAACAAATTATTTAACTGGATAATACTTTTATAAGATGGAACATGATAGTACAGATAAAAACGTTGGCCTTTGGCTACCTTTCACAATGCATGTTAATTGTATGCAAGATGCTGATTGTGGAACTGTAAATGAAACTGACAAAACACCTGGCTAGTTACAGTACGACTATTTAAAAAACATCTAGAATATACCTTTGCAAGATGTATAGATGAATTAACTGATGGTTTCAGAAGGTCAGAGCTAACAAACTTTCCCTGTAATGGGTCAGGCAGTTAATACGTCAGTCTCTGTCACACCACTCAACTCTGCACTTGTGGAAAACACTGAGATAACAGTAAGCAAAAGGTGTAACATTGTTCTTTACCAAACAACAGGTAGTAAACCTGTGGGCTATAATATGCCAACCTTCCGGTTAGACTTATTGGCGTATTTTTAAAAATATATTTTTTTCTGTATTTTCTAAATTGTCTTCAATCATAAAAACATAAATTAATTTCATAATATATAATTAGAACAAGAAGTGCTATAAAAATACTCTTGGTTATAAAGACCAGGGAGCACCGTGAATTGTTAGAAAACGGCTCTAGTAGACTTCAGCCCTTAAATGTATAACAGGCGCTGTGGTCTCCCCTAAGTTTTTAAAGTGCAGCCCAAACTCCAGGCAGAGTCTGTGGGAGGTAAGCAGAGCTCTACCTTCAGGACCAGGATTGATGCCCTGCTAAAAGGGGCCCTCAGAAAGCTTCGTTGCCCTTTCCATGGGAGAACAAAACAAGAAGGTGTCATCCATGGGCTAGGAAATGGTGTCTGCTAACAAACCGAACTTACAGTCCCCAGAACTGTGACAAAACATTTCTGATATATATGGGCTACTCAGTTCATTGTGTTTTGTTGTGGTAGGCTGTGTGGTCTCAGAGATCGGGTCATGTCAAAATGACATGTTGAAAAAGAAAAGCCTGAACTGGGCATGGTGGCACATATCTGTAATCCCAGCACTCTGGGATGCCGAGGCAGGAGGATCACAGATTTGGGTCCCACCTGGTCAACTCAGTGACTTAGAGAGACCCTGTCTCAAAATAAAATAAAGAGGTCCAGGGATGTAGCGAGCTCAGTGTGGGGGAGCTGGGTTCGATCCCCAGTACCAGCAAAAATTAATTAATTAATTAATAAAAAGCCTCTAGTGGTTTCAAGTTGCACTTAAATTTCAAATTATTTTATCCAGACTGGAAACCTTAAAGATCTGGCTTCTGGTTACACGTCAGGACCTACTTCCAACCAGTGTTTCTCTGTTACTGTTGTAGCCACAGGTGCACTGGTGTGCGTGCGTGCCGAGACTCAAGTTTAATACACATTTGCACAAACAGAGTGCTGTTAATCACTCTCATCTGCTCAGGCAAAGGTTCTGCCTACGAATTCAAGGGCCTTGGAAACAATCTTTAAAAAATTTATCCAGTTCACTGAATTCTTTTAAAAAGTAGGTATTTGTATTATGTACATAAAATAGTTCCCCATTTGATTCTGACTCAAATATTTATTAGTAGAAAAGCACAGTCTGTGGCAGCAGAATTCAGTTTCAGACTAACAAGGAAGATTCTTTTTTTATCTTTATTAAATTTATTGGTACAATTTAGGTATACAATACAGTTACATTCATCACTGGGATCTTGTATTTGTACAAGACTTATTTTGGTTCTTATTTTTCCCATTCCCCAGCCCTCCCTTTATCTTTTCCACCCTTCCCTGTTTACAAAGAGTTTGTCTTCATGTTTTTCCTTTTTAAATATTTTTTTCTTTTCCCTTTTTACCTTTCCCCTACCCCCCAACGAGGAAGATTCTTGATAGGACAACAGCCTGAGCCACTTCAAGGAACTAAAACACATCAAATAAACTCAGGTTTATTTGTTTGTTTGTTTATTTATTTGCTACTGGGGATTGAACTCAGGACCTTTCACTTGCCAGGCAGGTACTGTGCTGCTGAGTTGCATCCTGGTCTTCAGATTTTATTTTGAATTTAAAAATTCTTATAGTACTAGGAAGTGAATTTAGAGCTTTTTTTTAACTGAGCAACATCCCCAGAAATTATTTATTATTACTATTATTTTTTACTTTGAGAGAGGGTCTTTCTAAGTCACTAAGTTGCCCCTGCTAAACTCCAACTTGCAATTCTCCTGTCTCAGCCTCCCAGAGTGCTGGGATTATAGGCATGTGTTACTACATCTGATTACAAGAGGCTAAAATTTTATAAAGCATAGCACACTATTTTCTTTCTACCTTCCCCTTTGTTCATGTGCTCATCAACACACACTGTATTTATCAAACTTTTTATATTTGCTAGGCAGGTTGGAAAGAACTATTTCTACTGGGGATCTAGCTTAGTGGTAGAGTGTTTGCCTAACATGTACAAGGTGCTGGGTTCCAACTCCAGTACCAAAAAAGAAAACAACAACAACAAAAAGAATATATTTGTGATCTTAATTTGTTTGTTTGTTTTACTGTGGAGAGAGTTGAAGCACATTTTTATATGTTTGTAAGTCATTTATTTCCTAACCTCTGGCCTATGTTCATTTCCTTTGTTTATTTAACTATTCTTTAGTTGAATTTTCTTTGTCTATGTTGAGAGACTTTCAATATGTTATAGACGATAACAGGCTTTTGTCTGTTATACATGCTGCAAATAATTCTACTTTTAATTTCTTCATTATTTTGTCTTTTAATTTTGTATTTTTGTGGTGCTGGGGCGTGAACCCATAGATCTGTGTATGCTACCTGAGTGCTCTACCCTTGAACTACACCTCAAGCCTTATGTATTGATCTTTACTGTGCACAAATTCTAAATGCTTCTCTGGTTAAACTGAGGGTTTCTGAATGTCTTCTGAAATTTATGTCGTGCTTTGAAAGATTTCCCCTACTCTAAGATTATAAAGCAGTGCTGTTTTCAAGTAGTTTTGCAACTTATTTCACCCACCTCCTTTGATTTTTGCTCCATTTGAGATTTATTTTGCAACATGTAAGATGGAGGGAAAGGCACACCTGTACTCTTCTGTTAGTTCAGTGAGGCAGGACTCTATTAGCGCAACTTGGGTTCTTGCAGCTGCTGGGCATTTGAAGCTCAAAACATTGTGAGATCATCCAGCAAAATTACTCTTTTATCAAACAGTATCAACATATGGCAGCACATTTCAGCTAGCCATTTAGACTAGTATTTTCTGAATTTTAATCACTTGAAGGACGTATCATTTGTACCTTCCCACATTAATTCCCATACTATTGTTTTCTGACTACCTCAGTTATTCCCAATATATAAATAATTTCATTTAAAAAGAAAACTTTGCACCATGATTTCACATTCTCGTTCAATATTTTGAAAGCACACTACAGTACTGAAATGACTTTTCCCTTGAATACCACTAATGTAATCTCATTTATCACTTTGGAAAACAGTGATCTAGTTAGATAGAAGTTTAGAGCTCCCTAAACTAAAAGGTTGAGGTGACTGACAGAAGTTTTGAGTTTTTATATTTGAGAACATCTTTTTTGCGTGTTGTGACCTCATAGATGCTATTGAAAAGCTCATTTGCCTACTTCTGTTATATCCTTTGATGTTTTAATGGATGACAATGAAATCTGAATTTTTAACTGGTTTGGTAAACCTTATCCCAAATCATACACTTTTTTATGAAAACAGAAGGAAATAGAGAAGTTCACTTTGCCTAAAATTCCAAACGTGCACTTGCTACCCCTGCAGATAAATTTTATTCATTGCAGATTAGAACATCTTCCACCATATCAAAAAATGAGCTAGAATTGCAGTAGAACCATAAGGAGTTCTGTATTTTGCCTAATTAAAAAAAGTAGATAGCTTCAACATTGATTCCAGGTAGTGCAGCTTTTTGGTTTTGTCTTGTGTTGCTGAGGATGGAACCCAGGACCAAACCCAAGACGTGCAGCTCACAAGGTGAGAGCGGGACCACGGAGCTGCGGCCCACAGCTCTTCTGAGAGAAACAGTGATATCATTTGGGTCCAATCAGACTCCTAGACCTCTAAAATGAAAGGTCCTCTGAAGATAAGTTTCTTAGGGAGGGCACTGACAAGGGGAAAAAATGAGAACCAAGACCTGTCCTGTAAAGGTACACGATCCCAATAATGAACTTAATTGTACTGTATACCTTAAATGTGCCAATAAACTCAATAAAAGGAAAAGAAGAGATAAGTTTTTAAACTCTATATATCTACACTGTCTGTTACTCTTCATATCTCAAAATAGGTGATTTTTCCCTCTCTCCTATTTGCAGCGAGGACTGCTGTGATTAGCGAGACCTGCAGCAAGGCGCCACAAGGACTTCTGGAGAACAAGGCAGCCGAGGAGGAGCAGCGGAGACCTACAGACAGCATTCAAGGGCTACGTGCGGCCACCAAGGGAAACAGGAACACCACTGGGTTGGTCTGGGTATCTAGAGCAAAACAGTAGTCGTTGTTTAAGTGGCAGCCGATGACACAAAATCTCTCAGATCGTGTATGGCGCGCTTTCAGGACATAACGGCATCTCCTCTTACGGTCTCATCGGCGGTGAAGCGATAGCTGGTTTTACGAACTGCTGTGTTTACTTTATACAAGGTGTTTCAGAACCACCATCTCATTTGCTTTTCATAGCAGGACTTCCCCACGACAGAGATGAGCAGAGTCAGTCTCTGAGGACTAAAGTAATCCTGTCCCAGTCACACAGCCAGCAAGGAGGAGCAGCGCAACCAAGCCCAGGGCCTTTCTAAACAGCAAGCTTTCCCATGAAGTCAGGACGCTTCTTTCTTCCCCCTCCCAGATTGCCTCTTGTTCCTTTGTCTTGGAAAGAAAACCCAAGCAGAAGAAGACACCTTGTGTCTGACAAGTAACCTCTTCCTAGAAATGGGGAGCAGAGTTCGAAGGGCTTAGTTTGGCTTTGACTTAAGAGGGGTGATAATAAGGATTGGAATAATTAAAAAAAACAAACAGGAGTCATATAAAACCAAAATCTCAAAATAAAAAATACGACTTTAGCAAAAGGCAGCCTGTCACTCCAGGTACTTATTCAGCATGAATGGGGGGTACAGAGCTCTATATTAGCTTCCCCAACTTCCCCAGCCCCACCATTGGGTTGAAATAGTTCATGCAGGTTGGGATGAAAAGAAACAAACAACATTTGCAGGACTCCATTTCGTAAATCCCCCGCAGGGCAGTGATTGGCAGCTCCCTGTATTTCTTATAGCGCATTTTACATCCCCGGGGTGAGCCAAACAGTTGCATTAATGTAAAACATGAGAATATCAAATGAAATGTTTATGGAGATTTTTCTACAGCTGTTACCTCAGAGCTCCTCCTTTATATGACTGTTGCTGGGGTTCCCCAGAAGTGCACAGAAGTAGTCTTCTAGTTAGACCCATCAAGTATGAAAATTTTGTTAGCATTTGTCATAAAGTGGTGATATCATATCTTAAAGCTGATTCTCAGATAATTTTGGGAAATACACGATCAGGTACTATATAGGAGTAGTCAATCAGATGTAGTTACTCAAGCACAGTATACAGCAGACAGGCTTGAGAGACAGATTGACTTAGGTTCTCAATTCTGATTCACATCCTATCAAATAAAATCCTTTGAGGAACAGGGAGGGCAGTCACAAAGATTAAGTGAAATAATGACTACATATAAAGCAATGACAAACTCTCTGGCACTTAGAAGGTATCCAACAAATGTCAATTCACCTTTTGCATCCCAACAGTCTCAGTATGGTGATTTTTACCGATTTACTTGCTTTCTAATCAAACTAAAAGGGAAAATAACTGTAGAGAGAGTAAAGTATTCAGAGAGTTCTTGTAGGGAAGTGTCTTGTGTGATAGGTGCATTAGCACAACACAGCACCTTGTAATCTAGCCTGTAGAAAACATAAAGAACATTTCAGTGAGGGCTCGATTTTATAACTCTCATGAATAGGGCCACCAAAGTGACCTTTAGGGATACAGGAATTCTGATTTCATTGTTTATAATTTTTAATATTCATAGAGATATCAAAAATGTTATGTCAATTTATATTTTAAAAATTGCCATAAGGTAAGTTATGATGTATATCTTACTCATATGAGATATAACTCACAGAAGAATAATGAAATAGTGATAATAATGTTAATTAAAGTAAAGAGGTTTTATATGCCAGGTACCTTATGTGCCTATTTTCAGTTTTACCTCACTGAATCTAGCCAACAATCAAACAGAAGGCTATTACTAGTACTGTGGTTTACAGATGAGGAAACAAGCACAGAAAAGTGGCTATATTCCAAATCTAGAGTAAATATACAGAGTACGAGACACAAAGAGAGGCAAAGGAAGATAAATTATATGTTGTCCTTCACACAATTGTAGCCTAAAAAAAGAAAATCTGAGGCTACTTGGTACTTTGTTGATTCTTGAAGTTGCTTGCACTGTTACTCTATCAAGAATGACCTCTGCAATAGTTTGGTTCTGCTAAAGGAGTGTTTGGATGAAAAATAAACAGAACAGAAGTGAATAATGGGTAATGTGTTTATTTACTTTTTGAGGTGCTGGAAATTAAATTCAGGGCCTCATGCACACTAGGAAAGTGTTCTACCACTGAGCTACATCCCCAGCCCTATTTTTTTTTTTTTTTTTTTTTTTGCCTTTACCAGGAATTGAACTTAGGACCTTGCACTTGCCAGGTAGACACAGCTCTGGCCCTATTTTTCATACACAAAATAAATACTTTATTACCAACATCATCATCATTATTGGGGCACTGAAGATTGAACCTATGGCCTTTGCAGTAAGCTACATTTACAGTTCTCTCTCTTTAAATTTCAAGATAAGGTCTGCATCTCATCACTAAGTTGCCCAGGCTGGGCTCAAACTTGCTATTCTCTTGCCTCATCCTTCTAGAATGCTGGGATTACAGGCATGTATCACCACACTCAGCTACATACACGGATACTTAAAAAGTCTTCTGTGAACTGAATAGGTTTCTAAAAGTTATTTCCAAGACCCTTGTATTTGTAGGCAGAGTCTTCATGTGAGAAGATAAGGAAGCTAATGGTAGATGACCTGTTATGTCACTTGTGGTTCTAATGTGGTCTGTAAAGGTGAATAAGACAGAATCCTACTCGAGATGAATGCGGTGATTGTCTTGGCACCATCAGCTATTTGATTTCCTGATATATTGTACTGGATGAATGTATCTGCATTGGTACTATTTGGAAAATGACCCATTCATAGATTTCAAGTATTCCTTAATAGCAACTGCCAGTCAGTGTCAAATCTGGCTTGAACACACTGCAATTTCAATTAAGTGGCACACCATTTAAATATGCACATAAGTAAATTGCATAGAAAAATTATGGAGGGAGAGTAGAATGATCTAACAATAATGCATGTCAAACTTAGGGTAAACACCTATCATGACAAATTTCCCTGACATTCTTCATTCGGGTGAAAATATATACAGTAATATTTCTATTAAGATGCTTTTAACAGTAAACTTTGGTGTCAAAATCCTGTTATAAGACAAGGGAGGGATGGAAAGAGCTTTGGGGATTTCTTATACTAACGGATTTTAATGGGACACTGAACTCCTCAACTACTAAGTTTGGTCATCCAGGACATGTGGGGAGATTCTCTTCATTCTTAAGAGATCTGAATTGGCTAAATGTTAAGGAGCATTATTGCATGACCCAGGCCACTCCAGAGAATAAGGTATGCGTTGCAATGAGGCTTTTCACCTATTTTGGCCTGGAAAAGTTTATGTATGAGATGATGCCCTCTTCTGCTCTAGAGGTTGCTACTAACTTAAATCTGAGGACAGAAGACTTTTGCATGAGGACACAAGATGTTCCCACTTAAAGTTCCCTGTAGTCCAAGTCAAGTGTGTGACTATAGACAAGTGACAACCTCTTCTTGCCTCAGTTTCCTTCTCTGTAAGTTGAGGATGACAGGAGAACCTACCTCACCTGGTGGGGACAAGTGCCACCTGCTATTAGCTGGTCATGGGCTTGAAAGAAAGCATACTGCAATGGAACATATGTGGGCTAAAATCCTGTGTTGGTCATGTCTTGTGTCCTTGGGCAGAGTACTAGATTTTTCTGAACTATAGTTTCTGCACTTGAAAAATGGAAAAAGTTCATCTATCTCCCAGGGCAGATGTGAGGTAAAAAAAAAAAATGTATGGAAATGATATAGGCCATGTTGAATAGTCTGCTAGTGGCAGCTGTTTTGAATTCAACCCAAATGTATACTTTAAGGACCTGTGATATGTAGTGAAGGCAATATGGTCTTACAGGGTGGCTGGTAAATATCTTGAGTTATGAAGAAGGGTGTTGTTATATTACTGTATCACCCATTGACTTTATAATCTTATCCTGTGGCATTTCCTGCCACAAATAAATATTATCTCAAACTAGTTGGAGAATAAAGGGTTTAACTGCCAGTAAACATTGGTGAATTCGCCAGTTATCATATGGCTTATTCTGACATTGGTTCCATCTGATCAGATGCAAGAATTATTTTCTTCCAAATCATCTCATATCTGACTCATATGCAAAATACATTGTGAAGTTTTCTACTAATAGGTGCAGTACTTATAAATGATATACACTCTGCCTATTTGTAATATCTTTAAATATTTCACAATATTTCATAATATCTAGAACATGCATTTTCACATGTATAATCTACATATGTTTTTTCCTCTGTCCTAGTCCTCTCTTTCCTTAGAAAAGTGTAACCACTTGCTTGAGTTAACCTCATCAACTTGAAAATTATCTGCTGGAAGGGAAAATGTTTTATCCATTTCTGTATTTCACCACAGCTTCTAGAACATACAAAATATAACCAGAAGAACAAATCCTATACACATCCAGGCTGTATCAGCTTATGAAAGTCTCTTAGCCTCTCTGGGACTCAGTTTAGTATCTGTGAAATGGTAATAAACAATGCATTTTTCAAGGAATATTTTAAGCGTGCAATGAATTCACTTTTTTTTTTTTTTGGTACCGGGGATTGAACTCGGGTCCTTGTGCTTGCAAGGCAGGCCAATGAACTGCTGAGCTAAATCCCCGGCCCCTGAATTCACATTTTCCAAAGTACTTTCTGTAGTTCCCGAGTGTAGCCGCTCATCAAATGTTAGGTTTATTCCTTCTCATTGCATTAAGCCATGCCAGAAAACTCCAAAGATTCACATCTAACAATTTTATTAAATTGAGGTGAACAGTTTTTGCCATTGTATTCATGGCATCCTGCTATTTCTGAATGGGTACAATTAATTTAAATATAGCTCTCTAATTTGTTGCTTCCCCAGTATTCTCAGAAAACATTTTTGCATGGCAAAAACATTATAGATTTTCTTGCAGTAAAATAGGCTTTGGTTTCTCAGTCTCTTAATGAATAAACTATTCTGAAAACATTTTATATTCCTATGTGACATTCTACATTTTCTAAAGTCATCACTGAATGAATGTATTCTGTGTGTATCTTACACTAAGAAAACCATACCATGAAGACTCTTAAGAGACACTGCTCATCTGGATGGTCAAATTTTAAAGATAATTTTTAGACATAGAACATCTAATATGACCCTGTGTTTATTGTCTAATGTGTGGTGTTTACCCTTAGTCTAAGATTATTTGAGGTTCTATTTCTCAAAGAAAGCAACCATAATTTACGTATGTCAGTGCATGCAGTAGCCTCTGCATCTTGACTGATTCTGTTAATTCTGTAGAATGGTAATTAATGTCAACTTTGAGAAATGGTAATATGAAATCATTAGGAATATTTTTCAGAAAGAAACAAGAGACAAAATGCCTTGTATTAAATCTGGAAGTGAAATGTGCATCGGAGGAATATTAGCCATATTGTTACTACTTGATTCTAGATTTTCTGTTAAAAAGAATTGAGTGAAATGAAAATTTTGCACAGTAAAATAAATTCATTTCTACAAACCATTCCTGTATTCCAATGTTTTGATTATACAATAAAAATTCTCTTAAAATAAAATTTTCACCATAGTTCTGGAAGCCCTAGCTTGAGCAAACAGGCAAGAGAAAGAAGTTAAGGGCATCAAAATTGGAAAATAGGAGGTTAAATTTTTATCAAAAAACTAGAACCAGTAAATGAACACAGCAAATTGCAGCATAAAAAATCAACACACAAAAATCAGCCATAGTGCTTTATTCCAATGATGAATTATCTGAAATAGAAATCAAGAAAGCAATTCCATTTACAAAAGCTACAAGAAATAGTAAAATAACTAGGAATAAATTTAACTGAGGAGAGAAAATGTCTCTACAGTGAAAGTTGCTAAAAATTATTAAAAGAGGACCAGGGATTTAGCTCAGTGGTTCTGCCACCTGCCTCTCAAACACAAGGGTCCAAGTT